CTGTCCTCTCTCTGTGCTAGATTCTGCAGAAATCATGACTGCAGGCTCGCAGGCCTATCAGGAATGCTGTTTGGGAGGCCATTCAAGCTGCTTTGAGGTTCCTCAGAGTTTGTCCAAGAAATTATGTTTCAGTGTTGTTTTTGCAGAATGTTCCCACTCTTGATATGGTATGTATGCGTGTGTGTGTGAAAGAGTGTGTAAATGTACCCAGGAACTAATCTGTGGGATGACATTAGAGCAGAACAGAACTTGCTATTTCCATATGACGACCGCAAGGCAATGACGAAGTTAACCCGTCGTTAGTGTAGTTAATGTTATGATAATGTTAGCCTATGGTAAAGAGAAATGACTTCGTTAACCTTATCAAATACTGTCTTCCTGCCTGGGCTCTATGTATGCTGTTTGCATGTTCAAGTGCACCATGGCTTGTGATGTTCCCTCTGACAGGAGTCCCTAAGTTTTATTCCTCTTTCCAGACGGTGATGAAAATTACTTCTTGGGCAAACTCGATCAGGGAAAGACTCTCAGTGCCCCCACAGTGTCTGGTACATGTTAGGTTCTTAATAAATGCTTGTTGGACGAATAAATGAAAGGATCTTGCCTCTTTGCTTTTTATATCCCCCTCTCCATCCTATAATTCATTCCATGATATTATAGTTAGTGGATCTGACGTTCCATTTAGGGTAAGGATATTCTCTCTTATCCCCCCAGATCCTATCACAGTACCTGCTCAATAAACCTTTGTGAAAGGGGTTGCTGGGGATTGTCTGCTCCCTCAGAAGAAAATGATTGGCATGCCCTAGGCATCCTTTGTTCATGAAGAATGACTGTAGTTTCCAGTCTCCATCATATGTTGATCATCATGGGCTGGGATAGAGTTCAGACATACTGATCTCATCAGTGTAAAATTCAGTAGCTCAGTGACTGGAAAGAGAAACATTCTGCAATATAGAAATGACTAGACTTGGAAATATTTAGGTCAAGGGAATTTTTTTTAAATGATCTTCAAGGCCATCCCGAATACCGGGATGACGCTGGTTGTTAACACCTGAGCAACAATTTAGAACTTACACGTAGCCTTCCTGGATAGTCCAAGAGACCGGCATCCTTGTAAATATTTTCAGCGGACACCTCTGCTGGAGATGCCACAGTGGTCCTGGTGACAGGCGGGGGTTGAGCAGCCTCCAGCTCCCAAATGGAGATGTTCTTTCATCCCATGTGGTTTTAGCAGATCTGGTGACTTGAAGGGGGAAAAAAAATGCTCTACAAAAATGGATCTGTGTGGTTTTAGGAGATAACGGTGCACTCAGAGAAAAAGGGAGAAATAGTCACATCTGAAGTACATCCCTGGATGGGATGTCCCCAATCTTAGTGTCTGGGAGAGTATTCCTTCCCCCAGGTGAACAGCTCTGCCCACCTGGCGGTCATCTTCATGAAACCGCCTGAGTTGCTCTTTGGGCAACTGGAGCCGTGTTTGGGGGAGTCTCGGTGACGGCATCAGCCTCCGTTGCAGACCGATAACGACAGGCGTGCCCCTTCACCCTGCACCTCCCCTTCCTGCCACATTGAGGACCACAGCTGGTGAACGGATCAAAAAGAAGAAACCATTTGACCAATAGCATGCAAGAGGGAAACTGACTTCATCTGACAGATTCTCTGTGTGAACATTTTCACTGCAGTGTTCACCAAGTCTCTGATTATGCTCTCTCCCTCCCCTGGTGTCGATTCAGCAGTTCTTCAAATTAACGTCTTTCTTAACGAATCACGATTGCCAGCTATTGAACAAATGCACTACTCTTGGGGACTTCTTTGTGAAAACTGGGACATGGGAAGCAATTTTATTGTATTACTTTGCCTCTTAAAAAGGCCCAATCTGTTTCGTTTCATGTTGAATGCTCTTGGGTAGCAAATTTTTTGAAAACTTTTTCAAATTCTGAACAAATGTCAATTTAAGAAGTCATGAACCTCAAGGACAAATGCTTTTATTTCCTGCTAGCTTATTCTGGGATCTTGACCAGGATTACGTGGGGCTACCTCCAGTGAATGTTCCCAGGCAGCACACTGTCCTATTGGTTAATGTGACAGTCATTAAGCAGCTGACATAGGATATGAAGAAGGTTGAGGACAAATACATTTAAAATCAGTATCTCTTAAAAGCTTTTTACTTGCTAAAGCAGAATTGTGCCATTCATCTTTCGGTGCTTGCTTTCTGCCATATTGATTTCTCAGATCTAAAGGTTGGGGTGAGTAGAGCTTTGGCATTTCTTTTTTTCCAACGGAATGATAATTTTTCCATTTAGATCAGGTTGCCATATTGTCCTTCTACGTTTTAATGCTCTAAGACCTTTAAAAAAATTGATAACAATCAATGGCATAATTTCGACGATTACTCCAGCATTTGGACCTGTGACAGGGGACGTATTCAGGTCCACGGTTACTTATTCATAGTTCTGAAACCTGGAGAGCTCTGAAGAAATAGAAGCTTTTTTTCATTATGTTTAGCACAAATTAATTTGGTGACAAAACCTGACCTGAATGGATGCAAGGCTATTTAGTCTGTAATAATCTTATATAGTATGACTGTTCACAGCGACGGCTGCAGAAATCTAACGTGTTTGACTAAGGGTGTCGCCCTTAGGTGTATTACAAAATACACCACGGCTCACTTCCTCAAATATAAAAAATTATGAATTCCAAAATACATCTGGCTCCAAGAGGTTCGGGCTAAGGAATCGAAGACCTGACCTAAACTGTGAAGGTAATGATTTTTCACTCACCTGCTAATTTCCAGCCAAAGTCACTGAGCCAAGGGAAACGACAAAATCGTGGATGCAACTTTAAAAGTACAAGAGCTGCAGTGACCCGACTTGCTGACTTGCTCTCCAATTCAGCAGAAGCTAAGTTTCTTCCTTGCCCTTGAGTGTCCCCATCTGAACACCATGCTCCTCCGGCCAGCGTTATTAAATGAGACTTAACCCGATTACCAACATATTGCTTTATTTCTTGGTGGTAGTAAATTAAGGCTTTCTAGAGTCATACAGCACGCAGTGATTGATCATTAGAAATAAAACAAACAAACAAACAATGAGCATTCAATTTCGCAGAGGCAGGAAGGAAGCAATGTTTTAAAACAGATAAATTTCCTAGTGAGGCCTTTTGCTTGGTCTCTAAAAATCTGCTGAGCTGTTTCCCCAGTGACCTCCGCCATAGATTCATATCCCAAGAGGGGTGGGCAGAGTGGCCGAAGAGAAGACTGGGGCAAAGGGAGAGACTGGGAGAGACAGCACGTGCTGGGCAATGAGTGTGAAAGTCAGCTTTGCCTCATGTGTGGAAGACAGGTTAGACGGTGTTGTCGGGTGGTGGCGATAAAGGTATTGTAATGGGACACCCCTTCTCTGGTTCAGGGCGCCATTTTGGATCGCTCTTCTCATTCCGGGAGTATGAAAATTAACCACTTGGAAGACCCCGGTGCCAAGGGTTAGGGACAATCCTTGTGACTCTCAACTCCTGAGATGTTAGACACGGTCAGAAACCACAGAGCATGGGAATGCTACCTTCAGCCTCTTTCATGGCTCTAAACACTGGGACTATCATGAGACACTCTCCCCTGCCAAGCAGTTCACTTTCCCCATGGCACATAGTCATGACTGCCCACTAAATTGTTGACGATGTTGACTGGGGAGCAGGTCATAGGTCATATGGTGCAGGAAAGAAACCTCCTGGGCAGACGCCACCTCACTCTATCTCCTCCTTCCCGACATAAGACAAAGAAACGCAGGGAGCCTACAGTGGGAGTGCAGTTGTCGAGTTGTGTGTGAGCTTGATCTGCAACCAATTCCACCTACTTGGCTTGGAGATACAGAAATTCTGGGTTTGGATGGTGGACGCTTTGAGAAAGCAGTGGGTGACTGTTTGAAGAGCGATGGAGAGGTGTGGCCAGAGAAAAATGTGGGAAAAGTCATGTGTTTATTAACAAAAGGCAAATCAATTTCATGAAAATGAGCAGTGGACTTTCTTCTGGCATCCCGATTTCACGCAAGTGAGGCTAGCAAATGGATTCCCATCCAAACAGGGCCATTTAAAATGCATACTTGGCAAGGATTTTAATGTTCTATTCCAAGGGCCTGGTTAGCAGGCCCGCGCTCCAGTGTGGTCAATGTGCTCCTTCTTCCATTTGCCTGACATTTTTGAGTGAATGGTCTTTAAACACCTGAAAGTTTGCTGTGTGCTCTTTGACAGAGAACATGCAGATAGCCATGGGAGAAGGCACACGAGGTGGCAATCTGTGCCGTTAATCACTTCGGGCTTAAGCCCAACAGGCTTCATGCGATGGAGTCTGGATGCACAGAGAAATAAATAGATGAGAAAAGTGGAAATGTGATCTGAATGACAAAGAACCAACACGTCTGCCCCTGCCAGCTGCAGGGCAGATGTAAATGTGTCTGCTACATATCACATGTGCACTAAGAAAGGATAGGAGATCCTTCGAAGACATGAGCTCTCTTAGGCCTCCCTTGTTAATGAAAACTTGTGAGGGTCTTCCTATTTGAAAACACTCAGCAAGATCCACTTGACTGGGGCTGTGGGCTGTGCTCTGAGTGGGAAATCCACTGCCTCCATAAGATGGTGTGGGGTCGGGTGGTGCAGGAAGCGCCCATCACAGGAACCATCCACCTAGTGGGGCAGGAGTAGGTGCCCGAGGGACTCACCCACCGAAAGAAACAGGGTTGGGTGACATTCAGATCGGAACTGAAGGACATGTGGGACATTCATGCTGGCACTTCCCAATCTCCTGAAAGCACCCACAGAACCAATACTCTTGGGAGAGGTAGATGCCTCATATGCTGTAGGCCAAGGCACTGCTCCTTATTGACAATCTCTGTCCTCTCAATTCTAAAATGGGTACGAAGCGATCATCGAGCTGAATGGCCTCTGATTCAGTGCGGGCAGCCGAAGCCCAGAGATGTCAAGTGACTTGCCCAAGGTCACACAGTTATGTCTGTGGCAGAGCTGGGGGGGGGGGCAGGAGGGGAGAATGCAGGTCTCCTCCTGCACAGTGCTGCTTGCCCCAAGTGATTCTTTAGAAAAGGGTTGGAAGCGCTTTGTATATACCACGTGCTAGGACATTTATTTAACAAGAATTTGCTTGGGCGCAGGACTGCTGAGTGCGGCTTAGGCCACTCAAGTGGTTTAAAGAGGAGGAGGTCTGGAGAGCATCATTATCCTGGATGTGTGGTTGCTGTTGGCCAGGGAGGGGCTGTGGGGGGGGGGGAGCGGTTGGGACAGGTGTGTGCACGCAGAAGCCTGGGATGCCGCCGGGAGCAGAGAGACAGAGAAAGAGGCGTTCTTAAACACACTGCCATCGGCCTTCTGAGGTACCTCTTTGGGGAGAAGAGAAACTGCCTACAGATGACCTGACCCAAAAAACCAGTTTACCGGCACGGCAACTTGCACCCCCCCGCCCTCCCCCCGCTCTCCCCCCACTCCCCCTTGCTTTCCTGGACCCCTGTCGCCCACGAGCACCAAGGAAAACGAAAAGCCAGACCCCCAAGAGCCTCCCAGGAAGCAAGGGCTGCTACGGGTGGGCGGGTGCCGGCGCTTACAGATGCTGCTCTCGGGAATCGCGCCACTGGGTCCGCGCGCGGCGGCCCGAGCGGCCCCTTCAGAAGAAGGCGGGGTTGGTGTGCTCGATGGCGCAGCGCTTGCAGTGGCGCTTCACGAACCGCAGGGCCTCCACGGACACGTCGCAGTCCTGCACGTTGAGCATCTGGAGGTCGAAGCAGTTGGCCGCCACGACCTGCAGGCCCTGGCCCGTGATGCTCTCGCAGGACTTGAGGCTGAGCCGCTTGAGGTTGAAGCAGTTCAGGGCCAGGCACTCGAGGCCCGTGTCGGAGACTAGCGGGCACTTGCCGATGTCCAGGGACTTGAGCTTGGCGCAGTTCTTGGCGAGGTACTCCACGCCGTGGTCCGTGATGCCCTCGCAGCCCCTCGCGTTGAGGTAGCGCAGCTTGCTGCAGTACTTGGCCACGTAGCGGATGCCCACGTCGGTGACGCGGCCGCAGTGGGCGATGCTGAGGTACCGCAGGCGCGCCTCCAGCTTGGCGATCTCCCGCAGGCCGAAGTCGCTGACGAAGCGGCAGTCGCTGACGCTCAGCTCCTTGATGGAGGTGCAGTAGATCATCAGGTAGCGCAGGCCCTCGTCGGTGAGGCGCACGCAGCGGCGCAGGTACAGGTGGGTCAGCTGCGTGCAGTGCGCCGCGATCGTGTGCAGCCCTTCGTCCTCCAGCACGAAGCAGTCCGTCATGTCCAGGTAGCGGATGGAAATCTGTTTGCCATGCAAGGGGGACAGTTTAATGGAGGCCTCCCGGGTCAAGCTGATGCAGGTCACTTTGGAGCACCCTACACAGAGAGACAGAACACACGCTCAGAGAACCTTCGAGAACCGGGCGTGGGGTGGGGGGTGGTACGTGCCTCACCCGGGGGATGCCGTTGAGGATTCCTTCTCGAACACCTCCCCCCACCCCAGCGCGGCCCCCGATGTTACCCTGCCCGTTTTGACCCCTACGGAGAACAAGAGCAAGACTGGGTTCTCCCTGCTCATCTGATCCTTTAATGATTATGGGCGTCTGGGTTTAAGAGGCTCCCTAGGCTTTTGAATCAGAAACACCGCAGCTCCAATTCCACATCCGTCACTAGCTGCCTGACATGGGGCAAATCAATCCTTCTGAGTCCCTCATTTGTCTTAAAACGGGGATGATCATGTTCCCCACAGGTCGCTGTGAAGAATAAAGGAGACAATGCTTGTAAATATCTTGCCCTGGCCCAGAAAGTTCTGGAAGCTTGGTAAGGGCTGATTCTCTCCCTGCAACGGTCCTGTAGCTCTGTGGTCAAAGAGGTAAGATCGTGCTGGAGGCGGCTTGGCCATGACCTTGGTTTGGCAGAAAGAGCATTTGGGAGTCACACCTGGTTCAGGTCTCCTCCTTAGGGCCTCAGGCAGGAGGCTTAACTTTTCTGTCTCAAGGCTCTTGTCTATGCAATGAGCATGAGCAGCTGGGGTGCCTGTATGTTGGGGTATCATGAGCATGCAGTGAAATAATGGGTACAGAGGTACTTGGAAAACTCCAGGGGAAAGATACATAATGATTAATCTAACCGCTGGCCACCTGGAGACTCAATTCAATTCTTTTTGGTCAGGGAAGAACAACTCTGTCATCTGGATGACTGCTCCAGCCCCTTAACCAGTCTCCCTGTCGTGCCCTTACTCCCAACTGTCTGTTCTCAGAGCTGCCGGAGAGATTCTGGGAAACAGAACTCCAATCGTGTCACTTTGCTCCAAGTCTTTGGATGCCACCCCCTAAAGTCTAAGGGTCCCCTGAGGACCTGTACCCCTGCTCTCTTTGACTTCATCGCTTACCCCACTCCTCTGACCCCGCTGGCCTCCTGGCTGGTTCCCAGACAGCTGAGCTGCCCTCCTGCCTCAATGTCTGTGCACGGGACAGGGCTTCCCCGGGTAGCCCCGTGGGCCATCCCTACTTTTTGAGGTCTCTGAGCACACGTCAGCTTATTGGACAATTCTTCCCAATCACCCTGTATGAACCAGTGTCCCCTGCTTGACTCCCATTTCTTTTCAGCACTCTTTATCACTTTGTGGCATGATACATTTATTTGTTCACTTAAGTATTTGCTGTCCTCACTCTGGAAGGTAAGCTCCTGAGGAAAGGGACTCTGGGCTGTTCACTGCTGTATCCCTCATCCCTGGTTCATAGCTGGTGCTCACTAAACATCTGTTGAATGAACAAACTAGTGAATTATAGTGAATAGTCTTCTGTAGGAAGATCAGATAGGATAATTCATTTCATTTATTTTTAAACAACAAACATTTATTTCTCACAGTTTAGAGGCTGAGAAGTTCAAGATCAAGGTTGCCAGCCAATTCATTTCCTGGTTTCTGGTGAGAACCCTCTTGCAGACAGCTGCCTCCTTACTGTATTCCCACATGGTGGAGAGAAGGAGAGCAAGTTCTCTGGTCTCTGTTATAAAGGCACTAATCCCATCATAGGGGCTCCACCCTCATGACCTCACCTAAACCTACTGACTTCCCAAAGGCCGCACCTCCTAATAGCATCACACTGATGGCTAGGGTTCCAATATAGGGATTCTGGGGAGACACAAACATTCAGTCCGTAACACTATCCTCCTCTTCCCACACATTAACCAGACCTTTCCCCTCAGGCCAGTGCTCTCATACCAAAAATGTCTCCAGCAGATGGCAATTAGGCAGAAAGCATGCCCAGCACACGGGAGGCCCACCCCCGTCACATGGCAGGGGGGTGTGGAGGGAGGAGTTTCCTCTCTTTATGTAAGTACCTGCAAAATATATATGATTTCACCTTCTGTCCCGTAAAGCCTATATAAGCCTCTAGGAAATATTTGTGGACCTTGATCTAGAGCTAATTTTTCCCCACTCAGGATAATTTAAATTCCAACATTTAAATGTCCTCAGGACTTTGGCCATGGCCGATGTGAATTTATACTATAAAACAACTGTCTGTTTTATACTTAATTATAATGCCTTTATTTGTATTGAATTATGAAGTTTACAGAATGCTTTTATAAACATTTCCTTACCTGATTTTTAATCCATTTTACTGATAAGGAAATGAATGCTTAGGAAGATTTTGTTGTTGTTGAGATCTAGAACCCATTTAATACTCTATCCTTTTTCAGATGATTGGAAGATAGCTTTAGCTATCTCTCTAAACACTGTTTCTAGCCACTCTTCCCCTATGAATGTGTGTATATATGATACATTATATACATTACATATTATACATAATTATATATAAAACACTCATTCAATGTATATTTCAGTTCATTTGATATTACATAATATATGTACAGCATATTTTTAGTATATAAATATAAATATGATGATGTCATTATATATATATATATATATATATATATATTTCATCCCACTACATAAACTGTATCTGTATTTTTCATTTTCTCTGTGCTCGTCCCGAATCCTTCTTGCAGTTCCAAAGCCAGGTGCTTCACCTCAGGCACCTCTGTGCCCTGGCTGCCCGAGCAATATCCAAGCTCCCAAATGGCGACATAATCGTGCTAATGGGGACGGTCCTCCCACCTCCTGGCAGGCTGCCCAGGAAACTCTTATAAAATTCAGGTCCTGGGAATAATGAGGTTCAAAAGCCAAGTGCGACCAGGTCAAAGAATTTCAGGAAAGAGTAAAGCATACAATCCAATGCTGGAGAACAAAGATGGTGACTCATCAGAGGCTGTCCACTCTGCTCTATCCAGTAGCCGTCATGGTTGTGCAGAAGGTGGTTGGTAACCCTCACCTTCAGCTTTGAAATATTCCTTTGTTTTGAATTTCTTTTTTTTTTTAGAGTGACTGTAATCCTGCTTATACCGAATTTATATGTCCACAGTAGTGGCGGCCTACCTGGGATGCCTGTGAAGGCATTTTGTTTTTCAAGTTCAGATGACAACCTTTGTCCCTAAACTCTTAGTTTCGGTTTCTTATTATTTATTTTTAATCTCTACTAAAATCTGATGCACTCCAGGAAGGATATTATATTTGATTCAGGGAAACATGTGCCTTGTTTTTGAAACCGAGTCCCCAATTTAATGAAATACTGGTTAAGCTCAGTTTTGGTAAAGATGCTCTTTTGATCTGCTTGTATTATTTTAGATCAATAATTTTAATTTAGGCCTCAGCCTTAATTCTTACAGATTTGTTAAGTTTGGACTGAAAAGAAAATAAACTGGTCCATGGCCCAGTAGGTAGTATCTGTGGTTAGTTCATGCATTCATACATTACAGAGATGCAGAGCACCCTAGAAATCATCCCATTAAACCTTCATTTTTTAAAGATGAAGCATCCCAGACTCAGTGATATTACGAGACTCATACAGCCAGACAGGGGAAGGTTTTCTTTTTTTAGATTTTATTTATTTTTTTGACAGAGAGAGATATAGCGAGAGCAGGAACACAAGCAGGGGGAGAGGGACAGGGAGAAGCAGGCTTCCCGCAGAGCAGGGAGCCCGATGTGGGACTCGATCCCAGGACCCTGGGATCATGACCTGAGCCGAAGGCAGACGCTTAACGACTGAGCCACCCAGGCGCCCTGGGGAAGGTTTTCTGATGCAAGCCTTCAATTATAGGAGAGGAGGTAAGAAATGACTAGGATATAACATGCAATTGATGAACTGCACAAGAGATTTACTGTAGATGTGTCAGCATGAAGTGAACATTTAGATACTGAGGAATCAGGAGTCTTGGAAGTGGTGAGTATCTATAAGAGGATTCTTGAGAGAAGCAATTTGATTACCTAACATGGAGATTAGGCAGTAAGGTGATAGCATGAGCAAATATGAGACCCAAGAAAGCATGGTGGCAGAGGGGTTGTGAGGAGTGGCCATAAGGTGGAATGCAAAGTATCTGATAGCATTTAATGGGAACTGAGATAGGAATGGTCCATTGGGATCAGATTATGGGGCCTGCCCTAATACTCAGGGTAAGGAGTATGGATACTCCTCAATAGGAAATGAACAATCTAGGTTGAACATATCTGTGGGGTTTCTTCCACTTAATTGCAGATTTGGTTCTGCTTTCACAAAAATGTTCTTCGTTACCATCCCCTCTCATTATTGGAGAACTCCAGGTGTCTGGTTGTAAGAGGGCCCTTTGAGGCAATTTCATTTGCGATAATTACAATATATTATACTTTGAAAACTGGTGTGCTTTACTGTGTTTCATTGATGTTTCAAGACATTATTAATTGTGATAGTTAATTTTATATGTCAACTTGAGTCGATTAGGTGCCAAGACATTTGGCTAAACATTTCTGGGGGTACCTGTGAGCCTGTTTCTGGGCAAGATTAACGTCTGAATCAGTGGACCCAGTAAAGCAGACTGCCCTCCCCAATGGGGATGGGCATCATTCAATCAGATGAGAGCCTGACTACACCAAAAGATGGAGGAATGGAGAATTTGTTTTCTGCTTGACTGTTTGAACTGATGCATTGGTCTTCTCCTGCCTTCAAATGAGACTTACACCATCAGCAGTCCTGGTTCTCAGGCCTTTGGACTTGGACTGAACTGTACTGTCAGGTTTCCCTGGGTTTCTAGTTTGCAGATGGCAGATCAATCTCTTTACACATACACACACACACACACACACACAGCAGATCAATCTCTTTACGTGCACGCTTGCGTGTGCACAAACACACACACTATTCTGTTTCTTTGAAGAATCTGGACTAAATATTAATAAAAGGTAATATGTGATAATGACAAAAGCCTACAGCTAGTTATAGTAAGTTTCAATGACTTGAAAAGACAGCTTTCAAGGGGAGTGTAGCAGGGACAAGAGAGTCTCACATCCTCTGGGGTAAAGAAGCTCTAGACCAGCAATGAATCCTCCAAAGTCGAGGTTCCTGCCAGCGAGAAGGCCAGCTCGAAAACCAAGGAGAACAAGGCAGAGGTGAAATCACCTCTGGCAGCCCTCTGGCTTCTCCCAGTATCAACCTAAGGTTTCCAGATTCCCTCAGAACTGGAGTGCACCATTTGGAAAACCCCGCCCCCTTCCCCCCCATAGCTGGAATCCTGTGCTTTAACTTGGTGAGTTAGAGATTCCCTTGTGTACATAGTGTCTACACAGGTCCCAGCTGGTCACTGGGAGGCATGTGAGAAGACCACAAATATATTAGGCTCTGCAGATTAGGGGGATATAGCGGAAGGGCATCAGGCTTGCAGAATGGTTAGTCAAAAGGGCCTAGCCCCATCCACTCACTCAGGCTAGAAGCCCAGGAATTTCCATTCCCAAAGTAGTTTCTACATTTCTGAATTTCAAAAGGACTCCAACAGAAAAGGGCACAGTACTTGCAGCGTGTCCCGAGGGTGTTCAGGGAGCTCCTTCAACAAAGATGGGGACTCCAAGAACAAGTCGTTCTCTAACCTGATTTTTGAAAAGACAAAGAAATGAGGTGTCGAAAAAATAGGCCCACGATGCTCAGAATCTTAGAATGTTAAAGAAGCCAATTCCTTGCCTTTTTTTTTTTTTTTAAATGAAGAGGAAACACATCTAGAGAAAGCTGTGAACTGTGGCAAATCACAAAGTTTTGAAACCAGTCTCTACCACATCACAATGCTTTCTGTTTCCAGAATTCCTTGGAAGAAAAATGTAAGAAAACCTCTTTGTTTCCTGCCTCTTTAGGCCCGCAGCTGCTCATGACTAACTGAAACTACGGTTACTATGGTTTTGTCCCGAAGCCAGCGGAAGGGGGTGGAGAAACGAATTGCTTTCCAGCGAGGGAAAGAATCTGCGAAAAATAATTGACTGTCATCTGAAATATTTTCAGATGTCGGCTTTTGAAAGAGAGAGCAAGCTCAGAGCACACTTTGACTTCAGATTTTGTTGGAGGGTATCATTTACCTCAGATGCTTGTAAATCCCAAATTCTGTTTATTCGCCTGTCACAGTGGTTTTTACTTCTTGACCCCTCCCCGACCATCCCTGAGGTTGTGGCTCATGCTGTTCGTTTAACTCCCTGATGCATCTTACAGATTTCAGCCTCTCCAATGTTGGTCTTTTGACTGGGCAGTAGATGAGATAAAGAAAGGCTGTTAGTCCGGCTGGATCCACGTCTGGCGCCAAAGTATGAGTCTGCGTTTTAATTCTTCCTGCCTGAGAGAGGTTTTCAAGCAAAGCAACCATGCTGGGATTTCCCTCAATTTTAAAAAGATCTAAAGGCTCCACTTGATGGGCCTTATCCTTGCAGTATGTAATTGAGAATTTTGCTTAAAAAAAAAAAAAAGATCCAAAATCAACCCAAGGGTGAGGACAGTGGGGGTGAAATATAAGGAGACACTTGACCATGATGGATTTTCCCCAGGGTCTGCAAAATGGCAAGCAATCGTGAGCACGGCCCAAAGCACAGAATCAGCGTAGACACAGCTTTTGGGCTCCATGAAATAATAACTAATGGACAGAAAGGGCGGCGTCTAAACTACCTATCTTTGGGTTAGATATTTGGTTCCCATTCTCTATGGTTGCTCTGAAATTCAGTGACGGCTATGGGGAGGAAGGACGGGTTTAAAAGTCCCATTACGGCGCCTGGGTGGCTCAGTTGGTTGGGCGACTGCCTTTGGCTCAGGTCATGATCCTGGAGTCCCGGGATCGAGTTCCGCATCGGCTCCCTGCTCGGCAGGGGGTCTGCTTCTCCCTCTGCCCTCTTCCCTCTCGTGCTCTCTGTCTCTCATTCTCTCTCTCTCAAATAAATAAATAAAATCTTTAAGAAAAAAAAAAAAGTCCCATTACCTTAACAGCCAGACAAAAAGGTGACTTGAGTGCCTTAAGGAGTGGGCCTTGTGTGATGAAAGGGATACCTCTGGCCTCTGGGGTCGTGATTACATAGAGACAGTCTCTCTGGAAGAGTCAGGTCCTTACCACCCACCCTCCATCTCTAATGGCTATCAGGGAGGGGACCTTGTGTGTGGGGGGGGCAATGCCCTCTACAGCTTTGGGAGGGTGAACCGAAGGCCCCGCGGGTGGGGGGTGGGGGGTGGGGTCAGCCGCCATTTACCTGACACGTCCAGGTGCTCCAGGTTGGGGCAGAGGGACACCACGTCGAAGACCGCCTCGTTGGAGATATTGTAACAGCCCGAGACCTCCAGTCGCCTCAGTTCGGGGCAGCACTGGGCAATGGTGTAAAGCCCTCGGTCCGTGAGCCGCCTGCAGCCACTGACCGCTACGGTTTCCAGCATGAGACAGACGTTGGGCGTGTCCTGGCAGAGCCGGCGGGTCAGCACCTTGAGGGCGCGGTCCACGTTGATGGTCTCGCCCGTCAGGCGGATAGTCCTCCAGAGCCGCGGGTCCCAGGCCAGGTTGTACCAGCGGCGACACACGCGGGCGCAGCGGCACAGCTGGTTGGTGGGCAGGAAGGAGAAGATCTGCACCATGGACTGGTCCGGGAGGCGCTCGACGCTGGCCTGCTCCTTCTGCGGTCTGCAGGCCAGCCGGATGAGCGGGTGGGTGAGGCGGGTCGGGGGCGGGGAGTGGACCATGGCCACCGTCTCCCCGGTGATGGACGACGAGGAGGTGGACGAGCCCCTTCCATTCTGAAACCCGGGCAGGTTCGGGGGACATATCAGGGCTGGGCTGGGCGTGCTCAGTGTGCGCATGCTCAGGTCGGAGTCTGGCAAAGGACAGAGAGCAAAGGGTTAAAAGGATGGCCATAGCGGAGCCCGGGGAAGGAGGCCAAGCGGTGACACCCAGTCCACCGATATGCCTCCTGGGCAGACCCCCTGCTGAATCCATCACCTGAAGCAGAAGCACAGGCCGATTTCGCCCATTCCAGCAATTGTCCTCTATCTGCAGGAGGGGCGGGCAACCCCCTCGGTGAAGGGCCTGATATGGAATGTTTGAGGCACTGCAGGCCACCTGGGCCCTGTCTCCCGTTGCCATTAATCCACCCTGCCATTGTAGTGCAAAAGCTGGCATAAACAATACGTAAACAAACAGGGGTGGCTGTTTCCATAAAACTCCTTTTATGAAAACAGACCAGCTGGATTTGACCTGCGGGCCATAGCTGGCTGACTTCTGCTCTCCATTAATGGTGATCATCTAAAGGGCACAACTTCAAAGTTTCATTATCTCTATTCTGGGGAAAATCTCACATATTGTGAACACAAACTCTTTTCTTTTTCTAATTACATTTTGAGTAGGCAGGTAATTACCTTCCATTGACCAACGAAGGAATGGGTTTTGGAAGAGGAAGACTGGCAGATGGACGTAGTGTTTGCTGTCTTTGCCCTGGCCTGCCCCCTAGCGTCCAGTCCCCCATCTTTTGATAACCGTACCCCAAACTCCGACTGCAGTCTGGGGTCTGGGGAGCCACCCCACTTCGGCCATTAGACTGGGCACTTCAGGTGGTGTTTCCAGGCCTTGAATATCTGTGGCAATATATATTTTTCCTCCTTCTTAACAAGTCTGCCCTTTGCATTTCAGTGACGTGACTCCCATTCTATTCCTTGAAACCAGAAAGACCACTTAATGAGGATACAAGTGGTTTTTAAATTTATGATGGATTAAGAATTCTTTAGGATACCACTTTAAGAAGTCTGCTCATTTCATACCCCCACCTTGATATCTATATGAAATAATTTATTTTCTATATAAAGATATTTATTGTGTACTTTACATACATAGATGGATAGAGTTATTTAAGATGACATCTATTCTCTCTAAATATGTTTATATTTTTCACACACACACACACACACACACATACACACACACAGAGAAAGAGAGAGAGAGGGAGAAGAGACTTTATCTCCAAAACATAAGTTTCTTTATCTGTGAAAAAAGAAATAAGTGAGCTGGACTAGATGATTTCTAAGTCATTTCCAGCTTTAATTACAGCTCTAAAGACTTAAACAAAAATTCTTTCCTTGTGTGCTTTTCCACATTTCATACTTTGGGAATTTTCAAACACTCATTTTTTTTTTTTTCCCCCAAAAACTTCCAATAATAACATACAACACAAGAACTTCTGACACTGGGGTCTCCACTGAGTGTCTATTTGTAGTTTTCCTACTGGTATACTTGTTCTACTGTTACAATGTTTTCTTTCAATTTACTTCTTTATAACCTAACACTGAAAATGTCCTACACATGTCCGTGACTTCGCTCATGGATCATCTTTGAATTACTGTTTCCCCCCCTCCCCTCACCTTGTCTGCCTCTTGAAATAAAAACACTAAGTGCAAATGCCACCTCCTCTAAGAACATTTTCTTAATGTCTTTGAGATATAATCAATCACTTCCCTATTGAAATCCCCATCCTTTGTTATTAGGCAGTTGTGAATCTATCTTTCCCTAATGTGCTTGACTGTATTATTTTTCTCAATTTGGCATCTCTCCCTATATCCACGTATCTTTGTCAGGTGACTCCATGGTTCCTCCAAGGGACAGTAGATTTGTTCCATCTAATGATGTTGGGCTTGGCTACGTGACTTGCTTTGGCCAGTGAATATTAGGACATGTGATGTGCCCAATGAGAAGAACATGCCTGGCTAGTCCACTGATCTTAGGGTGCTGAGAGGCCCATGGAGAATATAGAACTGCCTGAAACCTGCAGCTTCGAGCCAAGCTCAGCCAAGCCCCGCGGGGGTCACCCGATGCCCAGGTGAGCCACAGATGTGTGAGCTAGAACACTGAGCTTGGTGTGATTTGTTACACAGCATTACTGTGGCAACAGATGACGAATATACCTTCATTACATTAAAAACTCCTTTGAGACAAGGACTAATATCATTTTCTTATTTGTATCCTGGCAATACTTGGCACAGTTTATGGTGCATAGTCGGTGCATATGAAGTTCTTGAATTGAGAAGAAATAGTTAAAATGTTTAAAAAAAACAATCATTTCTAGCTTGGCATGTACTTCCCCATCCCAAGTGGTATACATACTGTGTTTTAAATCATTCATAAGAAATGTGTACATCTCTCAGGCGCCTGGGTGGCTCAGTCGGTTAAGCGACTGCCTTCGGCTCAGGTCATGATCCTGGAGTCCCGGGATCGAGTCCCACATCGGGCTCCCTGCTCGGCAGGGGGTCTGCTTCTCCCTCTGACCCTCCTCCCTCTCATGCTCTCTGTCTCTCATTCTCTCTCTTGCAAATAAATAAAAAATCTTAAAAAAAAAAAAAAAGAAATGTGTACATCTCTCTTTTGTAAATATATAGTAAATCTTTAAGGAAAACACTACATGCAAATCAGGGATTTCAAAACTGCCATCCAAGCTACCGTGGTACTAACCTTCATCATGATGTGAACTCTGAGAACTGCCTCCAAAGTTAGCATTTTTCTTAGGCAGGTGAACAGCTAATTTAGGGCCAGGAGGGGAGGGCAATCTTAGACTTTCAGCTCTGACATTTTCCTGGCTGTGAGGGCTCTGAAATCTCTCTCCTGCCTGCCTATGTTCTGTTCCTCTTGAAAGAGAAGACACTTCACAGTGCTCTGCGGAAACCTGCACATCTTGAGTTATGCCCCTGTGGGATGAACGTGCTTGTGGTAGGGAATCGAGGATTCCTAAACTTGCATCTATAACAGATTCACTTTTCTTCACTCTTGCATGCTCCCTCCACTGACAAGAGAGAATGGGAATGCATCCAGATTGACCAGAACTGCTGTGCTGTTTGCAACACGTTCCGTTTTTTTCTTTGCCAATAATCATACCCGAGTGGTAACGGAATTCACACTCAGAAAGAGATGGCAGCCTCACACATCTGTGAGGAACATTCTGTCCTGGAGAGGATTCAGGAGCAAGTAATAGCTCTCTTTCCTGCCTTTTTCTAGAGCTTAGCAGCAGAGTTCTCAGGAGTAATTCATGATGGCCAGGCACTGCTCATCCACGCAAGGAGACAAGCAGGGGAGCCTGGGGGTTTCCACCAGGAAAGCTGGATGTCTCTTTTGCCAGAATGTACACTAGGGTTCTCTGGATCCTTCCTAGTTATTCAGGTCAGGAACCCTCAGAGACTTTTTGAAAGGGTATGATTTGTCATAATTGAATAAATAGCACCTGATGATTAAATTGGTAATAAAGGGCAATGAGTAATGCAATGGTCTAAATGTTTGTATCCCTCTCAAGTTCATGTGGAAATGCTAACCCCGAAGGTGATAATATGAGGAGGTGGGGCCTTTGGGAGGTGATTAGGTCATGAGAGTAGAACCCTCATAATTGGGATTACTGCCCTTATATAAAGACACTCCAGAGAGCTGTTGGATGCATTAGTATTTACAACTGTTTTATCTTCTTGTTAGATTGTCTCCTTTATTATAATAGTGTCCTTCTTTGTCTCTTGTTACAATCTTTGTTTTAAAGTCTATTTTGTCCGATATAAGTATTGCTTCTTTTCACGTCCGTTTGCATGATAAATGTTTCCCTATCCCCTCACTTTCAATCTGCATGTGTCTTTAGGTGTGAAATGAGTCTCTTGTAGGCAGCATACAGATGGGTCTTGTTTTTTTTTTTTTTTAATCCTTTCGGACACCCTGTGTCTTTTGTTTGGAGTGTTTAGTCCATTTACATTCAAAGTAATTATTGATATATATGTATTTATTGCCATTGGGTACTTGTTTGTGGTTTCTGTAGTTCTGCTCTGGTTCTTTCTTCTCTTGCTGTCTTTCATGGCTTGCTGGCTTTCTTTAGTGATCTGCTTGGATTCCTTTCTCTTTATTTTTCACATATCTATTACTGGTTTTTGATTTATGATTACCATCAGGTTTGTATATAACATCTTCTGCATATAGCAGTCTATATTAAGTTGATGGTCACCTAAGTTGGAACCCATTCTTTACTCCCTCTCCCCGCCCCCATTTTAGGTATATGGTGTCATATTTTACATCCTTTTATTCTGTGAATTTCTTGGCTGATTTTTACAGATATACTTATTTTTACTGCTTTTGTGAGTTTCCCACTTTTCTTACTCTTACTTAAGGTCTTTCCTTTTCACTCAAAGAGTCTCCTTTAGCCTTTTTTTGTAGGGCTGGTTTAATGGTCATGAACTCCTTTAGCTTTTGTTTCTCTGAGAAACTATCTCTCCTATTCGGAATGATAGCCTTGCTGGTTACAGTATTCTTGGCTGCAGATATTTTCCTGTTAGCACTTCGAATATATCAGGCAACTCCTTTCTGGCCTGCAAAGTTTCTGCTGAAAAATCCGCTCATAGCCTTATGGGGTTTTCCTTGTTTGTAACTGTCTTCTTTTTTCTTGCTGCTTTTAAAATTCTCCCTGTATTGCTACTTTTTGCCATTTTAATTATATGTGTCTTGGGATGGACCTCCTTGGGTTGATTTTGTTAGGGGATTTCTGTGTCTCCTGGATCTGGATATCTGTTTCCTTCCCCATATTAGAGAAGTTTTCAGCTATTCTTTCTTCAAATAAATTTTCTGCCCCCTTTTCTCTCATCTTCTTCTGGGATCCTTATAATGTGAATGTTATTATGGAGTCACTAAGTTCCCTAAATCTATTCTCATTTTGTGTACTTTTTCTTCTCTCACCTGCTCAGCTTGATTACTTTCCATTATTCTGTCTTCTAGGTCACTAATTCATTTGTCTTCTTCTGGTCTGCTTTTTATTCCCTCAAGTGTATTTTAAATTTCATTATTGTGTTCTTCATCTCTGATTGGTTCTTT